TCAATTATCTTCACCCCTCTGGGTCATAGAACACCATAGCTTATTCCTCCTATTTAACTGTAACACTGTGCCCCTTGATCATATCCCCACTCTCCAGCCATTGGTAACCTGTATTCTATCAATATCTATAAAATCAACTATTTAGATTCCACATATGAGTAAAATCATGCAATGTTTGTCTTTCTGTGCCTGGCTTATTTCACTTAACACAGTATCCTCTGAGTCCATCTATATTGTTGCAAGGGACTGAATTCCATTAGAAGCCTGAATTTAATGTGCCACATTGAACTTTTTAAATACGTACAGAGAACTTAGTGCTTATTTGATATACTATGTGAAAATCTATGTTAAAAGATTGACATGCCCTTATTTTATTGGAGTCATCCTCTAAAAAATCCCACATGAACCAGCTTCCACTTAAGATGATCAATTAAAACTTCCATTTACTTCTACTCTTCCCCAAACCTCTCTAAAAGGCATCAAAGGATTAAAAAAATAAATATTTTAAAACACCTTCAAATCAACATTGACCAGAGAAGACTGTAACACCATTTAGAAGTAAGGAAAGCAGAGGAAAAATAAGCACTGACTTGGAAAACTTCAAAGAGCTAACTGCTAAGCCAAAATGCAGACAAATTAAGAGGAAAACCACAGGATCTCAGGAAATAGAGGTAATAAATACAGTAGTCCTCACTTATCCTTGCTTTTACTTTCCACATACCTGGTTATCTGTAGTCAATCATGATTCAAACACATTAAATCAAAAATTACAGAAATAAGCAATTGATAAGTTTCAAATAACTTTTATTACAGTACATTATTATAATTATTCTACTTTATTATTACTGAACACCCCAAGATTAACCAAAGATTGGAGGAAAATGTCTCTAACATAAGACAGGGAAAGAAATCCTTCCAGAAAAATTGAAGGTAGCTGACTCTACAGGAAAAAAAACAAATTCAAAAAAAGTACTAATACCCTCAGAGATGGAGAGAATATATCATATCCATGAAATGATAATAGTAGGCTATAAGAAGAATAGTCAAAAGAAAGTACTTTGTATATTAAATACAGGATAATAAAATACAAAAAAAGGTTAGGCAATACAACTGAAAAGATATCCCAGCCAGTAGAAATGAAAAATCAAGATTATTATCTGTGTTTCAGGTGCAGGATGTTCAATACCAAACTATCAGAATATTCTAGAAAGAAAGAAAAGTTATGAAAATAAATAAATGATGTGGTAAAAATCTTCCAGGACTGAACAGTATATTACAGTTAAAGGCTTAAGACTTGAATTGCTCAGTAAAAATTTTAAAAGATTTCCTACTGCAGACATTCTTGGAGATTCCAATCTACACATCTCCTGGAAGAGGTGCTATATAATCTTGTTCTCTTTTCTTTACAGCAACACTTGGCATTTCTCCCCTGAGTTAGGTATTTGAGTAATGCTAGAATAAATTATATAGCATCATGCATATGTACATCGATACAGATCTGAAAGGTTTGAGCTTATTAATTACAGCTTGAGATTATTAATTACAGGAAGATGCAGGTAAGCACCAAAACCCAGTGAGATATTTTTAAAAACAAGTATCATCTATTAAGTTTTTCATCTCTTCTGACCTGTTTGAAACACTGGTTAAAAAAAAAAAAAAAAAACTAACTTCAACATTTACCAAGTTTCTTTCGTACAATTTTTTAAAAACAATACTCTCAAGCTGTACTGTAATTAGGTCATTCAAATACTGAAATAATTTCTTATAGTTAAAACTCAACTGGAAGCACTTCAGTATTTCTTTTGTTGCATGATGTTATACGATTATTTTTTAACTAAATTGTTGGCAGTTATCACATATTGTGTATTAATTCAGAACTGGCACTTCCATTTCAAAAGCAAATAGACAGTCAGCCATGTAAAAAGTTAAGTCCAGGTTGTGCATTTTATTATTTTGTTTAATGTCACTCATGACTGAAGACAGTTTCAATCACTATTTAGAAAAGTATAAACTGGAGTGTGGTTATTTAAAAAAAAAAACTATAGTTTGATTAGTCACGTACATGTCTTTAAGGGAGAAACATAATTATTAAAATAAAAAAAGAACCACCAAGAGTTCCCTGCTGTGTTGATGCCTACTATTGCTCTTACGGGCACCTAAAGATTCCCCTAATAGTGTTAAATGTAGCAGTTTATATTAGAAAATAAAAACATATTTTAGAAAATTAAAGGACTATCTTATAAAGTTTTTCAATGATTCATTCAACAAAAAACACTAAGCATCTACCTAGTGCTAGGTAATTTTCTGCTAAGGATAGAGTTGTAAACAAAAGTAATGTACATGACTGTCCCTATGGAGCTTATATGAAATAAATAAATCTTCTAGCATATGAGCCCTACAGAAGAACATTGTAATCAAAAAGCAGTGGGGGAAAGGGAGAGTTATAATAATGCTGAGGGTTTTTTTTCTTCTTCTTCTTTTCTGCTTAAGTACAAAGGAGACATTATGCAAGAATTTGAGAGCATTGAGGTCCAAGCCATGATGCTCTCTGGGGTAACAGCATTTTAGCTAGAAAGAAGAGCAAGCACAGAGGACCCCAAGGAAGACTCCTGCTTCCTTACTTCTATACTTAATAGGAAAAAAAAAAAAAAGAGAGAGAGACTCTCCTATCTTGAGATCCATCAGGTTAAATTTTTCTATTTGGATCCCAAGAAAGATAAATATAGTGGTTATCGTATGAGATTTTAGACAAACATATAATCTGGCTTATGCTTTTATGAGCCATGAGCCAAATTTTGTCTACCATGTATGTTAATAAATAAAGTGTTATTGAAATACTGCCTTATTTACTGGTTTATGTGTTATCAATATCTGATTTCAGGCTACAATTAAAGTAGTTTCAACAAAGAACATTATGGTTGTAAGGCTTAAAATATTTACTATTTGGACCTTTATAGGACCTTTATAGGAAAGATTGTGGCACCTCCTCTATACAATTCAGAATGCCATCTCAATCAGTGTCACCAGCAATGAAGAATTACATAGTCACGAGTTAAACAAAACTCAGAAACTGCTACTAAGGAATGGGTAATCATCCCTTTAAGGAGGACCTTAAACACCCTCAAAATGGCCCACTGAGACAATTTTAAAAGGGCGAATTTTGGATTCTACTTAGAACCTAATAAATACATGCTTGGAGCCAAACTGCAAATACTTCTTTCAAGTCACAGCAATATAATCATGTACAAGAGCTTTTAAAGTTCTTGGTGAAAAAAAATTTTTTCTTCATTTACTTTCCTATTTGCATTCACACCAGTATCCAGGAGAATACTTTTAAGCAAGAAAACTCAATTATTTCCCATAAAATGGAAACACATAAATTAAAAAAAAAAAAAAAAAAAAAACTCAGAGCATCTAACCTTAGGCAGGTTCAGAATAGAAGGCATAGAAAATCAAAGTACTGATAAAAAGGAAAATGTTCTAATTCATCCCAGAAGTGGCCAAATATTTTCAAACTTTCACAATGTACCTGGAGCTATTTATGCTATTATTTAGCCCAGGCCAATCAGTGTGCTGATTCTTCCCTGGATACCCTGATCAGCACCAGGATCTTCTCAACACTTAAATGATCCAGAAATGGAAGATCTGACAATGTTCAAGCTCACTGTTTTAAAAACAGTGTATGCCCTAGAACTGACTCATGCTTTTGACATTTAAATATGCATTTACCAATTATATTGATAACTAATAAAAGTAGAAAATACACACACAAGACTACTTCATCATCATAATGTGATCAGAAAGAAGTGGTACATAATAACTGATTCTAAGAAATATACTAATACAGTGTATTCAAATGTTATTTTTTAAAAGGATGCAATTGTACAAAGTATTAACCATATTATTACTAACCATAAAGATTGTGGTTTTTTTCTGATTTTAAGATATATAAATCCTGCTCCTACTAGTTATCAACAGCTGCTTCTAACATTTTTTATATGTTAGTAGAACTATTTTAGATCAAACTAAGTCCAATAGAAATGAAGTACATTTTCAGGTGAATAGTAGAGAAAACCAATACTGTGCAAACTTACCACATCAGCTACTTCAACATAAGAGGTTCAATCCTAAACTAATAATTCATGAGAAATCCCACAATCAAGATGCCATAAAACAATTCTAATTAAATATAATCCCTCTCCCAAGATTTCTCAGCACTGGTGTTAAGGAACAGTTTCTTTGTAAACATTTCTTTGTAAACATTTGAAATGATAAATCTGTTTTAAAAGTATAACATTTAGGGCTGGGGATGTGGCTCAAGCGGTAACGCGCTCGCCTGGCATGCGTGCGGCCCGGGTTCGATCCTCAGCACCATATACCAACAAAGATTTTGTGTCCGCCGAGAACTAAAAAATAAATATTAAAAATTCTCTCTCTCTCTCTCTCTATCTCTCCTCTCTCACTCTCTCTTAAAAAAAAAGTATAACATTCAAAAGACTTTGAATTTCTGAGCAACAAAGAAATATCAGAATATATCAGTAACAGTGAAGAGCTAAATCTAACAATGATATACTTTTCCCTAGCCACAATAAGCTTTGTATTCTCAAACAGAACACTGTTATGATATGAGCAAAATCCAAACAGTGTGGGCTGAGTAATGCTAACTCAGTCTGTGTTGTTTTTCTTTGCTACAAAGGGAGACACAGGACAGTATATTTTGGTGTGAAGTTGGAAGCTCACATTAAGAAATCTAAATGTGAGCTCATAACTTTCTATTTTACTTTGCTTTTCAGAACATAATGCAGTGCTGCACTGCACATATTCCCCCACTCCCTTGTCTAAATAAAACCACTTGTACAACTGCACTGAAAGGCTCTACAATATGAGTAGGGGTGGGGCAGGGGCAGTAACTGAAAAAACCTGGCAGGGTTATAAGTAGATAAATCTGGATTATTCAAAATACGCTAGGTATAAACCAAAACAAATGAATAGACACATACCCTTGAGGAGAGAGTTTGTCTAGCCACCCTGACTTAACTCTTGCAGCAGAAGATCCGTAAAAACAGGCATAGGGAGAGATGGCACTCGAGGAGACAGCTGAATCAGCATTTCCACTTGTTGAGCTTAGAGGATAACTGTGCCTATTAACAGGGTCCGAATTTAATGGTTTTTGAGTCCTGGACTTGGACGCCTTTGAATTTTTTCTTTTTAAACTCTGAAAGCACTCTTCTACTGTGGAGTATTCTGATTCAGAAGCAGAGTCTCTTGGAAGATTGTTTTTGTCCTCTCGAGGTATCCAAATATCTTCTACTTTGTCTTCACTTAATTTCTCCTGCTTGTTATCATATATGCTAAAGAGAAAGAAATGGCATTCACACTTCAAAGTGCTGTTTTTTTTTTTTTAACTTATAAACAACCAAACACAGAAATTTAAGTCTGGGAAAATCTTAAGAATTCAGTTATACCATATCTCATTATTTTTTAAACTTCTCAGAAAAATTATACAGAAATATTTGAACACTATCTGAAGGGTTTTGTTTTCCTTATGTATAATTTAATCTTATTCCCTTCATTATGGGAGGCTGGTAACAGGTAAAAGGAAGGAGATGGACCATATTCTTTGCATCCCAATTTAATCAACAACAATATAATAAGATGACCAGCCCAATTTCTATTCCCTGGGTACTATCATGAACTACTAATTCGTCTATTTGGAGATCTTCTTTCCAACTTGTTTCCCCAACTGGTTGCCCCTTCTACATTCCTCTAATCGACTCCAAGAACGCCATATTCCACCATAATGTAATAAAACTGAAAGTGTATCTGACTGCTCAGAGCTTTGGGCATACGTTGCAAAGAAAAATACTGTACCACCCTGCCAGCCAATAAAACAAGAAAAGGTCAGTGTATATTCAGAAGGTAAAAGTTGTATTAGATATAATGTTTACTAAAATGTATTCATAAAAACTATGCATATTCCTACAACTTTAAGAAATGACACGATAGATTCAATCAGTCATTTATGTAAAACAAAACTCATTACAAGAAAATTTTTGCTAGTCTATAAAAAGGATATGCCTAGGGGTCAAATCACATCCTTCTGGATACAATATTATAAAAAACTATTACTTTCTTAAAGAACAATTTAGATGAGCCCTTCCACATCAAACAGATTCATATCAAATGCTTATTAAAGATACTCATCATTTAGTTTGAAGTTAAGGAAACCTACAACAATGTTAGCTTTAGAAAATTAAGGATAAATGAAAAACAAAATGAATGGTAGATAATGATCCAGCATCTCAAGTCCCAATAAAACTGAGAGAAAAAATTAACTTGGTGCATAAAAATTCTGTTTAACTTCTTGTGTGACGTGACCCAAATAGCTGAGTAACTATCACACCTCTGTTTTCAATGAACCTCTCAATAAAAAGGACACTTTATCATTGAGAACTCTGCAGCTCCATGGTATTTGTGCTGCCCCTTCATTCTTCATATTAACAAAATCTCCTACTGTTGAGGTGCAATCAAGGGGCACCAAATATTTGCTACTTGAGGCAGTGAGAATGGCTGCAGTTAGGATCAGACAAAAATAGTCTGCTACAGAGTATCACCACTCAATCTATAAGCTATAATTCTGTTATTAAAACAGGTCCTATTATGGAGACATTTAGAAAGGAAAGCTTTTAACTTCCATCATAAACTACAGTATTATACTATGAGCAAGATGTTTGAATTTTAGCACAGAATTAATCCTCAATCATGAACTCAGACCTTGATTTGATAAAAAATGAGTTCCTTGCAGTATTTGCTTCTCCTTTGACTGTTTCTTCATGAGTCCAAAATTCATTCTTTATACATCTCTTCTGTGGGGAAAAAAAAAAAATATATATATATATATACATACACACATATACATATATATACACACAAACACAAACACACACACACATACACACACACTGTTTTGCTTTCTTGGCTTGAACATTTATTTATTTATTTATTTGTTTGTTTGTTTATTTATTTATTTCAGTACTAGAACTGAACCCAGGGCCTTGCACATGCTATAGACAAGTGCTCTACCACAGTGCTACATACATACTCAGCCCTTTTTAATTTTGAGATAGAGTCTTGCTTAGCCCACACTGGCCTCAAACTTACAATCCTCCTGCCTCAGGCTCACAAGCAGCTAGGATTACAGGCATGCACCACCACTCCTGACCTGGGGATGTTTTTCAGTGTAACAATATTTTACAAAGATCCATAATATCTGCCAGACCCAGGGCTGCACATTTTTAATTCCAGTTCCTCAGGACACTGAAGCAAGAAACTACAAGTCTCAGCAAATGAGCAATACCTTGTCTCAAAAGCAAACCAAAACAAAAAACTAACCCAGGGGCTAGGGATGTAGCTCAGAGGTAAAGTGCCCCTGAATTCAATTACCATTACCAAATTTTTTTAAAGCATATAATATCAGAGTTTAGTATTATTAAACAAATGTCTAAATGCTTTAATTTTCAGCAAAATAAAGATTTCATTAGAGAGTCTACATTACAACATTTTGAAGCCTTTTTCACTATCTTATTTAAAACATTAGCTAACTAGTTCAACTTAGAAAAAAAGATGTCAACCAAGAATTCATGTACAAAATTCATGTACTTTTAATCTATGCTATATGTTTTCTCAAATTCTCCTTTATCAAGACCAAGAAATAAAATAGCAAAAAGAGTACAAGTCTTTGAAAGGAAAGCCTGAATAATGAACTCATTTATTAAAAATATATAAATAATTATATTATACTTAGGGAGTGTGCATTTGGGTATAAGGCAATGCAAATTCTGGGGAGTTTCTGTATTTTTGTTGTTGTTGTTGATGTTGTTGTTTAATTAAAGTAACTTTATTTCTGGCAAATATTTAAAACTCACTATTCTGTATTCCTAAAATAAAAATGTGTCTGCATGCTATTGTTTTACCATAATTTTACTAAACAGAAATATTGCTCTCTGGAAATTTAATTCTTCAATACAATGCATTCTTCAAATAGCTTACAAGAAAATGAAAAGACACATATAGGCAGTAGAGCAAAGAACTGATAGTGAAAAAAAATAAAATGTACGGGACTAACCTTGGAATTTTCTAGTCTCTGGAAGAGAAAAGTCTCTCCATAAGGAAAGATGGATGATGAATTCTCCTCACTTGAATCTTTTTGGGAAATTACAGGATGAGAATGGTAAAGATGAATAATGTTGAATAGTACAAAAAAAATATGTATTTAATCACCCAATAGCAATATCACAACTGAGGCTAAATTACACCCCTGTCAGCCATCCCCGTAGACTTGCCAACCTTCACTGTACACACACTAATTCTTAAATCGTCATCTCTGTCCTCAAATCGTCATTTCAAAAATCATTCCGGCTAATGCAGACGTCTAAGATCTACATTAATATAACTAAGTACTGCCTACATTCAACAGAAATTATCACTGTGCCAATTGTAATGCTAATTCCTAAGTAAGAATATATTCTAAAAGTATCTTTATGATAATGTTCAGAAAACATTATAAACATTCACTAACCTAATAGTTACATATCATTCAAGATATCAGAATCCACTTAATCCCTCTAGTACCATGGCAACTAAAACACCTGTAAAAAAGTTATTTCAAAAGGATTTCTACCATCCTTGATTTACAAGATTTACAAGAAAAAATTCTAAGAACTTGTAATTCTGCTAGGAGAAAGAAAAAATTTAAGGGTAATCAATCGCTTGTCATTTTATCGTTAAGAAGAATGTTCCTGAACTTGTATAAGCCAAATTTTCAAAAAGAAATAAAAGCCCCTGCCAAAGGTTGATTTACCCGAGTAACAATACAAGCCCTTTCTAGTTACCATGGCAAAACCACTTTTCATACATCTTTGTCCTGTAGCTCAATCTTCCAGAAACTATTTAATTTAGTGAAATGTCTTTGAGGCAAATGCTAAATGAAACTGGTATTTAAATATATATATATATATACATAAGCATGTGCAATTTCTAGGAGTCTAAGTGTATATTATTTTCTTTTATTCACTCACCTTTTAGGGTATCTGAAGTAACATGAACAGCAGATAGTTAATCCCATTTCCCCTTTACCACAGGTGGTCTGCCTTCTCAATCAGAATTTTTTAACACATTTTTTAAGAGTATAAAATGAGCTAATCAATTTATAGAGAATTTAAACACACAGACTCACTTTGCAGTGTCACAGATTTTCCAGGTAAGGTAGTAGCACTTCTTCTCTCACGGAAGTAGCTTAAAGCAAAAGAGAAAAGTTATGAGCTCCTATTTAATACCTTGAATAAAGGATGTGTTATCAAGATATACACTCTTATAGGAACAGACACCAATATTCAAAAATAAGTCTGACTTGAAATAAACAGAATGACCAAATTCCAACAATGTGTTTTTCTACAAAGTCTTAAAGGAAGAGATTTCATTGGATTTTATGAGGAATATTTACATTTCATATCTGTAATTCACAAAAAGTAAGTGAACGTATTTGCTCAATGTTATTATACACATAACTGCAGAACTGCCAGCCATACCTCTGAGAGAATAGGTTTGTTAACTATATTTCATTACATACTTTTTTGTCATTAACTTTATACCGCAGAGTACAAAATTGTGTCTAGTTCTATGAATATAATATGAAAAAAACACCCAAACCCCTCTTTCAAAGATCATCACAGTCTCGGAAGAGATATTAATGGTAATTAATAACAATTTGACTTGGTAACATCAATGATGGAGATACATTGTTGATAAAAGAAGCTACAATATGACAGTTCTACTAATTTTTCCATCTAAAGGGAAGATCAGGACATCCTTAACTCCTCTTAGATATATATCTGCCCAAGTAATTAGAAGCCTAGAAATAACAAAAAGCAGAAATCAATGAAATAGACTAAGGATAAAATTTACAACTCACTATAACCAAAATTGGGTTCCTTAATATATCAACACAATTGACAAACTTCAGTAAAAAAAAAAAATGTATGTGTATACACACACACACACACACACACACACACAAGAAACAGGATATCACTTCAAAGCCTTTGAAGATTAAAGGGTTAATTATGGATTATTAAAGAATACTATGTCAATAAAGTAAAAAACTAGATGTAATGACAAATTCCTTAAGAGACTTAAAGTATCAAATCTGAAAAAGTTTAATCAAAATTCCCAGACCTATCAGAGAAACTGAATTTAGTAAGTAATCATCAAGTCACAAAAAACTCCAAGCCCAGATACTTCACTGATAAAATCCAAGAAAACACTCGAAGAATAAACAATAGCAATCCTGTGCAACATTTTTGGGAATCTACAAAGACAATATAACTGATAACCAAACCAGTCAAAAATGTAACTACAGATAAATATTCCTCATGACATGGATGCAAAAAAAACCAGTAATATATAATTAGATAATATATTATGACCAGGTGAGATTTATCAAAAGAAATCAATGTTATTTTAACACTAGAAAAATCAAGATCCAGAAAAATAAACTGAGAAACTTTAACATCCATTCATGACGAAGATTCTCAGCAAGGAATACAAGGAAACATCCTTAACCTAATAAAGAGCATTTATGAAAAACCTACATTATAACTAATAAAGACTAAATGTTTTCCCCCAAGGATTTGGAGCAAAGCAAGGAGATCTACTCTCACCATTTATGTTCACATTATTTCAGAGTTCCCAGCCTAAACAACAAAACAAGTAAAAGAAACAAAAGGCATGCAGATTAGAAAAAAAAGGTATCTTGAAAGAAGAGCATATCTTGTAAGTAAGAAAAATTTAAAAACCTTCCAAAAAGCTTCTCCAATTAACAAGTTAGCAAGGGCCCAGCATAATGGTAAATATAAATAAATTCAGTATGCTTGTTATGGTTTGGGTATGTAGTGTCCCCCAAGACTCATGTGAAGACTTGTTTCACAATGTAGCAATGTTCTGAGATAGGTCTTTTGAAAAATGACTGGACCAGAAAGACTCTGACTTCATGAGTGGATTAATCCAATGATAAATTAATAATCTGGTAGCATTATAGCATTAGGGGGAAGTATTACAAATTTTAGGAGCTGGGACCAAGTCAGAGTAAATAGGTTACTGGAGGTATGTCCTAGAAGGGTATCTCTTGTCCTTGGCCCCTTCACCCATCTCCCTCCCTCCCAACACCCTCCTTCCTGGTTGCCATGAGCTCAGCAGCTTTCCTCCACCCTGCCCTTCTGCCATGATATTCTACCTCACCTCAGACTCAAAGCAATGGAACTATCCAACCATGGACTCAAATATCTGAAATTATGAGCCACAGTAAATATTCCCTCCACTAAGTTGATTTTTCTCAGGTATTTGTTACAGCAACAAAATACTGAATAATACAGCTTCTATATACTAGCAATGAACTGAGAAAAATAATTTAAAATACAACTCTTGTTACAACAGCATAAAAAAGTATGAAATACTAATTGATAAGTTTACCAAAATGTGAACAAAACCTATATCTTAGAAAAATAGAAATGATTATTGAGAAAAAATTGAAGAAGTCTTAAACAAATGGACAGATATACCATATTAAGAATTGAAAGATTCAATAGTGCTAAGATTCAAATTCTTCCCATATTGATATATAGATTCTACACATCCTCAAACAATATTTCAGTAAGTTTTCATAATAGAAATTAACAAGGTGATTCTAAAATTTACATGAAAAGACAAATGACCTAGAATGGCCAAAATCGCTTTTAAAAAGAAAAACAAAATTAGAAGATTTATACTATATAATTTCAAAATTTAGTCAAATAAAATAAGTTTTCATTTGATGAAGGGCAGGCATATAAATCATGAGATGAAATGGAGTCCAACTATCATCCCACACATCCACAACCCGTTGATTTTTTAAAATGTTCCAAAGAAATTCTGTGCAGAAAATCTTTCAACAAAAGTGGTTAAAAGTGGATATGTCAGTGTAATAAAAGAAGTGAATGTCAAACCTTCCTTCATACCATATATAAAAATGGGAGTTTAGACCTAAGTATTAGTGCTAAAACCAAAAATCTGAAAAATAAAGGAGAGGAAAATCATTAAACTCTCTGAGTAGGAAAAGATTTGTTCAATAAGATATGAAAACCAAAACCCATAAAAGAAAAAAATTGAAAAGTTGAACCTTATTAAAATGTAAGACTTAATAATGTCATATATTTCTGACGCATGTCTTGCCCAAAATAAAAAGAACAACAAAAAAACTTACAATGTAGTAGTGAGAAATAGAACTCAATTTTATAATGAACAGAAACCTAAATGTGTACTTCCCAAAAGAAGATGCATGAATGTGATAGCCATTGAATAGAATGGTTAGAATCAATGTTATTTAAAGCAAGTGCCAGGAAATAAGTAGAAAGATGAGAATACTTAAAGACTATTGTTAGAAATACAAAGGTGTACATCCACTTTGGAAAACTGCTTGGCAGTTTCAAATAAAGTTAGAGATTACTCTAACTTAAACTCCCAGATATTCCAACCCTAGAAACAAACAAAAAAAAATTAAAGACATACAGCCACAGAAAAAATACCTGTATACAAATCTACATAGGAACTCTTTTCTCAATAACCAATAACTTAAGAAAAGCTAAATGATCATCAAGAAATGAATGACAAATGAATGGATGTAAATGGATCCAAGAGAATACCACAAAGGTTTCAAAACAAATAAACACAAAGATTACTAAAAAGAAGTAAATCAATAATAAACATAATGATATGAAATAGTCTTAAAATTGTCATACTGAACAAAAGAAGTCACATACAGAGAAGTATATCCCAAAATTCAACGTGGACATGTTTGAAAGAGGTATTCGACAATAAAATGACACTAGGAAACAGGTTTAATACAACTGTTCTGATTCTTGATTACAGAAAAAAGTTTATCTTTCAAAACTCATCAAATTACAAGCATAATGGTTATAATTTATTGTATGTATATCAAGCCTCAAATGACTTGTTTAGAAATGGATTTAACAAATTTATTGTTTGTATATATGATATGTAAAATTATATATACAAATCCTACACACAAAACAAAAGGAAACATTAAGTGTATCACAGATAAGAGCATTTAAAAATTACCAAACCCTCTGAGCACAACAGCACAATCCAATAATCCCAGCTACATGGGAGGATGAGGTAAAAGGTCACAAGTTCAAGATTAGCTGGGGCAACTCAGCTGGAACAAAGGGCTGGTGATGTAGCTCAGAGGTAGAGTACTCCTGTGCTCAGAACCCAGTACCACAAAATCAAAACTATTAAAACTAGGAATAAATGTAAGAAAGGATCTTCAGGAGTGCAACTAGAAAAGTGTAAAACATTCATGTAATAATCTATAATAGGTTATAGAAAAATCTAATTAGAGGAGCATATGAAAGACTAAATATTATGAAACCTCCTATATTAATCTATAGGATACAATCCCAAGAAGAAAGAAAGAAAGAAAGAAAGAAAGAAAGAAAGAAAGAAAGAAAGAAAGAAAGAAAGAAAGAAAGAGGGAGGGGAGAGTGATTTAACAAGTGGATTCCAAACGTACATAGAAAACACAGGGCCAAGAACAATGAGGAAATATTAAGACATACTCTTAAGGTATTAGGACTCATTATAAAGTTACAGTAATTAAGACACTATATTACTGATAAAAAGGATAAACAACAGACTACTGAAGTAGTAAAGAGCCCATAAGAGAACCCCTGGTCACTTAGAAGACAAAGATGTCACAAAGCCATGAGAAAAGCAGTCTTTGCAGTAAGTAGATTATTTCTTTATACAGAAGAAAGTGAAATTTTGCTCCTACCTCAGACCATGTGTAAACCAATTCAAGGTGGATTATAATTTCCAGTGTAACAAGCCAGCTGATAAAAGTTAACTGTTTTCATGTGTCTGAAGACACAAATAGTTTTAACTAAAAAGGAAAGAATTGGCAATTTTGACTAAATTATTAAATAAGAACTTTATTCATTAAAAAGTCACCACCAAGGGGGGAAAAAAAACAGTATGCAGACCAGGAGACAATATATTTGACAAAGAGCTCATACCCATGGGGTACTAATAACTCTTTAAAATTACTGGGAAAGATAAAGTGGAATTCAAAACCACCACCAAGAAGGAACCCAATGGGTGAAGATGTGCAAAGGCATTATGCCAAAGAAGATGGAAACATGGCCAACTGCCAATAGACATATTAAAACATTTTCAATCTTGTT